GTTTGAAAAATCTGTTTCAGAAATAGTTTGAAAAATCTGTTTCAGAAATAGTTTGAAAAATCTGTTTCAGAAATGGTTTGAAAAATCTGTTTCAGAAATGGTTTGAAAAAAAAACGCTATATTTTGAAAAACTCAATTTGCATTTTGCATAAGCCTTATCTTATGCAGTAAAGATAAAACGTTCTATTTATTGTGAACCCCGACTTAATTTAAATTAGGTTGTTAAAATAAAGTGAATAGATTAAACTATAGTATATATTGCCAGAATGTGGAGTTTTTAATTCCTAGGTTCATAGTAAAGAATATGAATGGACTGTTCTGTGTTTTAATCAAGTACTTACTAAAGTTCAGACGACCTAATTCTGTTGCAAAAACGCATTGGGTCAACCACATACTAGATACGCATGACGGGCCGGTACGGTAAAGACTAGACCATCATCCTTGTACTGGTTTGGATGATGCCACTTCTGAATTAATGTTAACTAACTGACTTTGCAATCAGTAATTTCGAATATTCTTTTTTTATTTTAGAAATCCATTTTTAAAAACCAGAAATTTCAAAAAATGTTTGCATGAAGGCAATTTGCTTATCAATTCTAATGTTTTCTTTCCTTTTTCCTTTTATAAAAATATTTCCCGTTACACTGATCAAAATATATGAAAATAATTTTTTAATTAATTATTTTACAGAAAATTTTGTTAAAGATTTTTAATCTAAAATTAATAACGTTAAACCTTCCGCTTCATTTAATCATAAAGAAAAGATAAATACTTTGTCTCTTAGTCAAACTAAATGAAAATACGTCAATTTAGTTGGAATAAAAAATCTTAGTTAAAAGGACAAAAAACAAACTAATATAGAAGGAAATGTAAATGTAGAGTAGAATACAAAAGGGAAAATGTATTGAATCTAAGAATTAATAAAGAGATTTTTTTTGTCCCCAGGACATGATCGGGTTGTTACGATCAAATCTCGGAATTTTTTCTATTGCGAAAGTTTGGTGTTGTCTGGGTTTTTATATTGATCTACCAGGGGTTGTAATCTGGCAGCACATTCATCCATCCACGCTTCATTCATTCTGAGAAGAGGGTTGACAAGATTCCAGCTGCCTAAGATTCTTCTTAGGCCTGAGAATATAGAGTGCAGGAATCCTTCTGATATACTGGAATGAGGCCCGGGTGCCGTACTGATAGGAAACATCACACTCATTGCTCCCTAACATCTGTAAGCCCGGATTGGATACCCCCAGGTACCTATAGCTGGCAACCATAGACTCTCCCTGCTTGTCCACCATTCCTCTCTTCATCATCATTCACTTGGATCAATCCCACTTGAAGCTTCTTTCTTGTTGAGTAGAAAGCACGCACCCTTTCGCTGCGAGAGTTGTTNATAAAAAATATAAATTATAAAAATTATAAATCTCTTCTAAATTGTTTCAAACAAAAGCCCTGATAACGAAAAAAGGAAATATTCAATTAAAGTTTTAAAAGTTAAAAAATCAAAAGCAAATGTTAATTAAATTTTCTTTCTCATTATGACTCCAAATTTCAGACGATTTTTTGAAACTTTGAAATAGTTGAAAGATTTAGACTTTAGAAAAATTGTGTTTTGAATTTCAATATAAACTTTAGTTTAAAATAAATGATTAAACCATGCTAAATATATGTAGGCAGGAACTTTTAGTTTTACCTCAAGTTTAAGTATTATCCATATATAAAATATATATATAAAGTATTATAATCTCGGTCTGTTTGTCTGTGATGATTAAAAATCTCGGTCTTATGATGATTAAAAACAAACAAAAAAGTATGGATATAAAATAAATTTTAGTCTGTACACTACATAAAAGTCTACATCTTGATAATCATACACTTGTTTTGAAATTAGACATTTGATCTATTCCCATTTCACTATATAGAATATGTACATTTCCAATTGTTGCGCGCACGTCTTATAAGCCTGATTGAATGTATATGCCTGGATCCGAGTATAGCTTCAGTAAGGCCTAAACCAATCATGGACACTGATGTAAACATACTTTGATTTCTTTTCTTAACAGATGACACTCGTGTAAGTATTTATATGAAATCATTTTAAAAATTGTTCTTTTAATACTTCAATCTACTTCAGTTAAACCAAACTATCTCCCCCTTTCATCTGTTGTTAAACTGTAAGGAAATCTACCAAGTAACACCATCTGAATAAAGAATCAAAGAAAAAACAGTTAACATAGAGAGAGTAGTTTGAAACCGGTCATCAAAAGAATATCAATATAACTATCATGTTTATTAATTAAGGATTTGATAATTTTCATTCTTGATCTAACGGAACCTGAAGTTGTATTTTGTTTACCAAAATTTTTTTAAAAATTTGTATAAAATGTACTATTTACGAAATTCAAGATTTTTACATAAAACACTTCTCAAATCGTGTTTACTAAAATCTATTCCTAAACAAACAACAAATGAAGAACTTTAATATGAATAACTTTGGAAAGGGGCTCAGCTCAATGAAATGGTATCCCAGATAAAGTCAATTTGGCCAAGAAGCCTTGTGGGAAAATACAGAAACTAAATGGTCTTTGGAAAGAAAGAGGTGCCAATTTGAGACTTTATTTTCTCGGACTTATGTTCGTGTTAGAGTACTAAAACGTCCTCGGAAATTAAGTCATGTTATTGAAGAAAATGCAGGTGGACAGCTAAACAATATGGGACTCAAAGTTAATTCTATGGCAAAAGTTTTAGGAATTCAAAGCCAAGGACTTTATTTCCAGAGACATTTTGTCATAAAACTTACGGAAATTTGGACTTTTTTAACAATGTTTTTATTTCCAGAAACTTTTTCCCCGTAACTTTCTAATATCTCTCCAATTAAATATCTATAGTTTTTTCTTGTTA